TGCGCTATGACACATCATGCCTTCGCGTTCGACGAGGAACTCCAGCGACACTTCATCCGGGGCTATGAGTCCGATCCACTCCAGCGACACTTCATCCGGGGCTATGAGTCCGATCCGGATTTCGCCACGTTGTATGCGCAGCTATATTTGGATCACCCGCCGGCCAGCCACTATCACATCGTCGACGGGTACTTGCTCCTCCACTCGCGAGGCGAGGACTTGTTATGTGTCCCACGAGACCGTCGTCTTCGGACTTGCCTTCTCGGTGAGTACCATGACTCGCGACTCGCCGGCCATTTCGGAGTCAATCGCACTAGGCAACGATTCCGATGGCCCGACCTCATTACCGATGTCACTCGGTATCGTGACTCTCGCGAAGTTTGTCGACGAAGCAAGCCCTGCAACCGCAATCCCTACGGGGAGTTGCGCCCGATGCCTATCCCGCGGGAACCCGGCCTCTCCATTGCCATGGACGTCACCGGACCGTTTCCCCGCGACCGCCTCGGGCACGACGGCATCCTCACAGTTGTTGACCGTTTGAGTAAGTACGCACGGTTTCTCCCTTGCAAGTACTACTCCACGGCTCCCGAACTTGCACGCCTCTTGCACACCAGCTGGATTTGCAGGCACGGCGTACTGGAAGACATCGTCAGCGGCCGCGACACTCGCTTCATGTCGGCATTTTGGACTTCTCTCATGCAGGAATCCGGCACGAGGATAAAACCAAGTTCGGCTCGGCATCCACAAACGGACGGGCAAACGGAGCGAGCACATCAAACCGCTCAAATGATGCTTCGTACGCTCATCCGTCCGGATCAGAAAGATTGGGTTGACCGCCTCCCCAACATCGAGTTCGCCTACAACACTTTGTTGCACCCGGCGATCGGTGTGACTCCATTCGAGGTGCACCACGATGGCCGGAAAGGCCGTATCTTCGCTGATCTTCTCCTCCCACGAACAGCCGACATAGACGCTGCTTGCTCCCCCGCTTCCGTTCAGAAGTACAGGGAATTGTTGGCTCAAGCCCGTGCGAACATGCAAAAGGCTCAAGTTCGCATGCAGCAGCAAGCCAACAGGCGTCGCGTGCCATGTCCCATTCGCGCCGGTGATCTGGTTTGGGTCTCCGCAGAAGAGATTGCACTCGAACATGATGTTTCGCACAAACTACTCCCCAAGTGGTTTGGACCATGGCCCGTAACATCAGCCGCGGGCGATGAGCCCGATGGCCCCTCATTTGTGATCAACATCCCCCCGCATCTGACGGTCCATCCAGTCTTTCACGCCTCAAAGCTGGCGACATATACACCAGCTAAGAGCGACGACTTCCCGGGCCGACGATCGTAAGATCCTCCATCTATGGATGGTCATCAGGAAGTCGACCGCGTCATCACGAATCACAAGTCGAAAGCAAGCCTCGACAGTACAAAGTTACATTCAACGCATGCGATCCCGACGACACTCGATGGATTTCAGGAGCAGATTTCAAAGCATCCGCACCGCTGATCTACGCTCACGACGAGCGACAAAGGTTAGCTCAGGGACTTCATGACCTGCCCCTCCCACCTGGACTGTGGTCCCTCCCTCAGACAGACAGCTTCGCCCTCGCAGGTAAGCTCGGTCTTTCAAGGAGGGGGGGGGGTGGCATACTGCGCAGCCACACGGGACTGCAGGGCCCGACCAGCGTTTTCAGCCTAAAAGCCTGAAAACAAGGGCTTACAGGCCCTGTGTCGTTTCAGCCTGAAAACCTGAAAACGAGGGCCCTCAGGCCCTATGTCGTTTCAGCCTGAAACAGGGCCTTCCAGGCCCTGAGTCTTTTCAGCCTGAAACGGAGGGCCATTTTCAGGCCCTCATAAGATCGACCTGCCCTGAAACTTAGGCACCAGACCAGGGTTTTAGCACAGGCCATTTTTGGCCTGTTTTCAAGACAACCTTTGGTTGAACCTCAACGCCAGGGCCTGGCACGTTTTGGCATTGGCAAAAGCAGCCTCCTGGACGGGGCAGCACTATGTAAGACTGAAAACCCTACAGGCTGCAGACAGTCACGAGGTAGTTCCTAGGAACTTCCCAGGCACTTCACGTGCAGGAGGCAGGAGGCAGTCTTCAGTATTCGGCAGCAGCRCTCTGGAGGAGCGCTGCAGTAGTAGTAGTAGCGTTAGCAGTAGTCTTCAGCGCTGGGCGCTATTAGGAGCTAGAGTAGTAGTGGAGAGAGAGAGATGGTTGGYGGAGGCCAGGGAGACTTACCTGTGGCGCCATAGCTCCAGCTTCGTMTTCGATGTACCTGCAACAAGGCGCCACCTTCACAGGTTAGTACTGGACTGAGAGAGAGAGAGTTCTTCTTCTTCCTCTTCTAAGTCCACCATCTCCTCCTCCCCCTCTCGCTACCTCACTTCTCAGTACCTGCAGACTACGAGAGAGAGAGATCGGTGACTTTGGGACTTGACGACATTGGATCCAGACTCGACATTGGGATTCAGACATTTGACGAGGGATTATTTGGGACCTGTGTCGAAGACTTGGTGTTGACGACATTCCCATCTTCCCCTCTTCTTCGTCTAACCCCCCTCTTCTTCGTCTGTGTATGGTTGGGGACTGGCGCATTCTTCCTGTGTGAGCGCCAGGCCCCTTCACACCATGGAATGATGATGATGTATGTTTGGGCTACATTGCGACATTAATTGTTCGGATCATTGGTATTTAAGCCTTCCGCTGCGCTACCTTGTACTTTGTGAGAGAGGTCGGTTCTTGTTCTGGTCTGCACCTTTACGGTATGCGACACTGCACCCTGAGTGCAAGAAAGTTCAACAAAGCTCACCCGGGGCGGGTCGCAGCTTTGATGGAACACCACCAAAACTGCAGTCTGTGCTCTGGATCCATGTGCCCATGCACATTTTGTAATGATCATTACCGTCTTAACCTGAATATAACACACGCACATTATAATCAACTTACCCTAAAAAGGTCGTATAATCATATAATGTACATATTCTTTTGCTCTGTTTTTGAAACGGCCCTTCGAAATTAACGCTCGGGCATTACAATGCCTGGGTATATTCAAATAGCATACCCAGGCATTATATTTTAATTTTTAACATTGGTAGAGTGCCTTGTAGGGGGAAAGGGGGTGGGAGGTGGGCGTGTATGCATTGGGTTCATAGCATACTTGTGGCGCATCACATGTGCGCAAGTTGCGCACGTGCACGTGCACGTGATGCGGCTCATTTACAAAATAATAATAATAAAAAATCAGAAAGGGTAGGACGTGGTACCCACAAGTGTCCCTCCCTTTTAAAAATTATAAATGCACAGAAAGAGAATATTTTGGGGCCACATTGTACTCCTCATTGGATTTAGTATCTTTTCGAAAGGGTTCCCTGCAAAGAATTAGTGGGGATCCCTTTCATTTGGAAGAACGTGAATTGAACTGCTGGAGGAACACGAGCAGGCCAGCAATATATCCTGGATTCGGATTCAGGTCTGTGTTCCAAGAGTTATGGGTTATGAACTTACTACAAACACTACAGTAACGGTCTCGTTTTTTTGTTTTTCCCTTTTCTTACGTGCAGTGGCCCTAAAGACCTCGCTCCACTCATCAGCACTTGCACAAATGAAAAACGTATGGCTTGTATGGTTCCAGTTTCTAGGAGAAGCTTCATTCCAGTTTTGCACATACGGTAGCTGTCTCGTTTTTTTTGTTTGTCCTTTTCTTACGTGCAGTGGCCCTAAGGGCCTCGCTCCACTCATCAGCATTTGCAGAAAAGAAAAACGTATGGCTCGTATGGTTCCAGTTTGTAGGAGAAGATTCATTCTAGTTTTGCACATTTGGTGAGTAGTGGAGTGAAGCCCTGAAAATCACATGCCGAGTTAGTAAGTCAGTAACCCATAACTGCTGAAACACGGACCTGAATTTAATGCTACACCATACATAGCTGGCCTGCTCCCTCCTTACTACAAGTCCAGTGACAACAGGTCCAGTGACCACCCTTCTCCTGCCGATGGGACCCTTGCCAATTTTTGGCAGGGACCTTTGGAAATACCGGCAGGGGTTGTCTGAATAATCTGAAAGGGCTCTGTGCTCTCTCTCTCTCTCTGTCTCTCTCTGTCTCTGTCTCTCTCTCTCTCTCTCTCTCTCTCTCTCTCTCTCTCTCTCTCTNTCTCTCTCTCTCTCTCTCTCTCTCTCTCTCTCTCTCTCTCTCTCTCTCTCTCTCTCTCTCTCTCTCTCTCTCTCTCTCCCCAGCGTGTACACACACATCATGGTGGCTTTTTTTTTTTTTTTTTTGACCGCACGCACATCTGCGATTAGCGCACCGCACACAGCACTTCATCTACGCGACGCAAGTATGGTTCATAGGGGACTGAGAAGCCGGTTAACTACAAAGGATTGTGCTTTAGTTTGCTTTTTTAATCAGTTTTCTATTTGTTCTTTTTTATCTTCATCTTAGTACGGAATTCTGAACAGATCCTCAGCCAAACGTTCTTTGCATTGCAATTCTATACAACTTCTTTTTTACAGAAGTCTTTGAATTTTTTGCTGTTGAAATTTTGAGGCCTCACCGAAGTTGTTACCGATTTACTGAAGATAACACGCAGGTGTCTTAATCAAATGAAACGCCCGACGGGCGCTTGTTTTCGGGTTAGGACAGTACGGGTTAAGGTTGGCGGGGGTGGGGCATGAGGGACAAGAGATTTGGAGTTACCGATAACAGAGGTCGTAACGCCCGGGCCTTATTTTCGGCTTAAGACAGTAGGGGTTGAGTTCAGTGGGGAAGGGTATGAGGCGCAAGGGGTCTGGAGTTACCAATAACAGGCGACCGCCTAACCTTTTGTCATCTGCTGTATCTTATCTCCTAGTTGTGGAATGAACCAGGGTACTGATCCCCAGAATAGAAGGAGCTGTGGCCATAAGGCAATGCTGTGACAGGGGCAAGGAAAGGGTCATGTGCTTCCCTGTCTGGTTTCCGCTGAACAACAATCCCCTAACAAGCCACAGCGTCTCCACGTACCATGTTGCCCTGGATGCTCTCCATCACTAATCGCAGTTCTTCTTCACCTTTAAGAGATACAATCTGTAAGAACCACCATTGCCCGCAATGACAAACAAGCGCAGAAATAGGGGAAAGAAGAAAAGGGAAAGCAGCCAAACATCCCACGGACATACAGAACAGATAAATTAGCAGGCAGTAGATATAATGAACACAAAATTCAACACATGCCCACAGAGAAAATAGTAAAATACACCCAAAGGGAATATTGCACAATTCAATCATCTTACAGCCTTATAATCCTTCGAATGAATAGAGAAAAGTACCGAAGGCTAATTGCAATGTGCCCATGAAAAGTTACGAAGATTAATGATAAGGAGTCCCACCCCCCCAAAAAAAACAAAGGGGCTTACAGAAGCCGGATGCTGCATGTAAGACAGTGGGCATTACTGCCTCTGATGCAGAAGGAAACAATAGGGTTACATGCGCCTCTTCAATACTTACTTCCATGTCATGTCAGACTTGTTCAGGTCCAGCTTGAGCCTGAACCTCTGGGTACAGGACAGTTTTGGTGCTAGTGTTTTTTGTTTTTCTTAAGCAGAAAAAAAGGACCCAATGGGCCCAGCTCCATGTCAATTTTGGGGAGCATCCGCCCGGTTCCTAGTACCAGCAAGTCAGAAATTATACATAAAACGTTATTAAAAACCCACTCATGGCGCCTCCCCATGTTACGGTCCGTGGATCCCCAAAAACAATTATTACTACATGCGAAAGGATTGACTGTCAGTCACGACAATTGCCCAGAAACAAACCCTCCCCTACCAACACGATTCTGCCCGGCCCCGTTCCCCCCCACCTTCCCGACCCCACCAAAAAAAAAAAAAAAAAACCAAAAAAAAAAAAAAAAAAAAGCCTGAACTTCCCTGAAGGCAGCCAGAATAATCCCTCTGAATCCACCACTTGTGAATTGTCTGAAGATCAATAGAAGCTAGGAAAGATCTGGCTATTCTTCTTAACGTACGCCTTGTCCTTTCCCTTGTAGAGTCATATGCATCTTTTCGCACTCATGCCTGCTAGTACAGGTGTGCTGAATGGTTCTGCTGTTCGTGTGTTTCGCACTATGTTTCTGCATAGATCTGAGAAATCTTCGTTGTATGACAACACTGGATTCTGATAAATCTGAACGGTTATCCATCGGGACTCACGTGGAAGCCATGTTGATGTCCGCTGAGTCCGGTATGCTCGCTGTGCAAGGGATGTCCGTCTCATTTTCAATTACTCCTTCCGTCCCAAAGACTGACCCATGACATTGGCTATCTTTCTTTTGCAAGGAAGGCCTCTTTAAACCTGTGTTAGTATCCAGTAGCACTGTCAGGATCGTCATTCATCGTTTTCCTCACTTAGTGCCAGAAGACCCAGTGTTCAGTTTCGATCTGTTGCTGTAAGAGACCCCATGCTTCCAGTATATCCATCGGTCTTTTGTCAATAGTCTTCTGACATCTTTTCTTCCAGATGATCCGATCCGTAGCACGGCTTTCCTCAGTATATGGGAGAAGCTTGTCTGGAAGGTCGACCATGCCTTCGGAGTGAAGAAGCCTCTTAGGAGCAGAAGGGAATTGACCAGAATATATACCTACCTCATTCTTCCATAGCTTGGCTATGTTTTCTCAAATGAGTCTGATTTGGGCACTGCAGGAAGCAGTGTTATATATTTCCCACTTGTCCCCCGGATCATGTGGGGCATAATTCTTTCAGTGTGGTGTATGATGGCAGATAGTGCAGACCTTCCATGGCCAATAGCCTCCATGGGAGACTCGGGCAGGTCAATAGTTTTTTAATCCATTTTGTTTGGAGAGCTTTGAGTTGGCTCGTTGGGTCTTCTCGACCACCCTGTCGCTTCTTACGGGCGACATAATTCCACGCTGCCTTAGTGATGAATCGTTGCTTGGAGGGGTCTGCAGTCCACAGATATTCTGTTGCTTTCTCTTCAAGCTCTTTTAGGGTGTTAGCTTTCGGGGTCCAAAATGATGAAAGGGAGAGAGAGAGAGAGAGAGAGAGAGAGAGAGAGAGAGGAGTACGTACCACATCATCGCGAAGACTGAGTTCAGCACGAGCATTCTTCCAAGTAAGGAGGCGTGTACTCTGGCTCAGGCTTCTAGCCTATCAATTATTTTTCCTAGGCGGTTAGCCGCCATAGACCCTGGTGCTCCCTGCTCCGGCATCTGCATTCCTAAAAGCACATCGAGTTCCTAGGGCCTTCCCATATCACGCGCTCTGGGATAGCAACAGTCTTTTCTATGTTTCCATCTGTAAGCCACCACCATAAGGTTTTTGGCCAGTTGACCATTTCGGACGCGACCTGGAAACCCTGCATAGCCCTAATGAGGGCCTCAAAAGGATGCTGATCAGATTGTCCGCAAACAGGATTTGCATGGGATATGGTAGGGGAAGTTGGGCCCTTCGTCCTTGTCAACGAGTCGCTGTACAGACAGGTCCTCCCTCAGGACGGGGGCTATGGCTTCCATGACGAGTAGAATACGAGAGCCGCCAATGGGTCACCTTGCGTTTCGATCTGGTCATTAGATATACGCCCGCTGACCTGTACTCTTCCATGCGCATCATTGCATAACACCCTAACTCATTTTCTGACATTGCGGCCCACTCCCATTTTCCCCATGCCTTGCTGAAGACAATCCTAGTTTACCTACTTTTTAAAAGTGAAAGAATGACGTAGCCGCGTTCATTGTCTTCTCTTCTATGACCATTACATTGGGCATCGCTCCACTAGTCACTAAATGTGCAAAACGAGAATGAATCTTCTGCTAGAACATGGAAAAATACACCACCATATTTTCCATCTTTTCTGCATGCGGAGAGTAGTGGAACGAGGCCCTTTGTCTAGTATGTATCTATACCCCATATATGACCTGATTGGTCTATGTGGAGAGCATTGCTTCATAACTTAGTTGCGATCTTATTTGCTAGTAGTTTGGCAAGTTTCTTGTAGGCTATTGTTAGTAAAGTGATAGGTCTGTAGTTCGTAATGTCTGCCGGATCTCATGTACTATAAAAAGGGTAACTATTCCCTGTGGTCATGGGAACCACATTGTACGCCGTCATGTTGACCGCTCATGTTTTTACACATGTTAAACTATTATGACGACGTCAACATCGCTATACCCAGCATCACGCACGACATTTGATTGCCTACGACCAAAAGAGTTATGGGACGGAAAAAAAAAAGGACTACGCACTAGTTGTCAAGAATTTTGAGGAAGTACGTTGCGTGGTTAGGATAGTTGTGCTAGCCGACCGGCGTAGGGTCGCACTTGGGAGATCAGGGCCCCAAGCGTCGATTCACACGCGGGCTCGATTGAGGCGTTAGCCACACGTACCCCCTATGCTACAACGAACGAGAAACGACCTCGGCAGAGTCGGCTGATCCACTTCTGCGACCACATGAAAAAGTTTTCACTTGTGGCGGGGATACCCCCATCTAAGGAATGGTGACAGCTCCCATAGGTGGAGGTAAGCTGTACCTCACGAGCTGGCCCACTCGTCAGGAGCGCACCGCTCCTTGAACGCTTTGCGTCTCGACTACCAAATCCTGCATGACTCGGTCGGGAGGGTCCCTGTGCGAGACCGATGCGCTCGACACCGTGAAATAGCAGGTCTGAGAGAAGGCCAGCAGGGGAAAGCTTTGGGCCTGAGATCATGCGCCAGCCCCCGTAACTAACCGGCAGGCCCGGGCTGCAGTTAGTGATAGTGGCTGGGACCCGCATTGAGATTCAGTAGGCGGCAAGCACTGCCTATTGGGACCACGCCGTGGCCTCTAGAACAGACAAAAGGCAGGAATCCGCTGGAGACTATTCCTGCATTTGCAGCTCGTGGCAGCGCTGGACAGCACTAGCGGCTGGAAGTGTGCCCGAGAGGAAGAAGGCAGCTGTGGTGGCTAATGGGCTGGTGCCAGCCAGATGGGCAGCGCTAGCAGGGCCGCAGGGTGGTGGAGTGTGGAAGTGGTCAGGAAGGAGGAAGACAGTAGGAACTGGCGGGTCTTGCTTGGTGTTGCTGGAGGAAGCCTGTGTGAGCAGAGTCTTCCCGCAGGTGACAAATGGACAGATAGTGAGAGTGTAGTAGACTAGCATGTGTATAAGAAGCAACAATTAGAATGAAGTGGGCTCATCACAGCAGGGCTACTACATTGTTGTTGTATTGATTATTGGAGGCGAGAAGTGGGGCTTTCTTTATCAAAACACTCGGTATTCTGTTTGCTCCTGAAAATTTAAAACAAAAAAAAATCTGCATAGAAAAAGAAATGTCTGCATAGAAGTCAAAATGGTCCCGTTAGCTGGCTCAGTAGGTTTCATGCTTGAGCAGCACCAAGTACGCGCTGGGTTCAAAACCCACTGCCGTCACTTTCTGTGGCCTGAGGTTGGCCAAGGCCAGAGCGACGCTGGTCGGCACTGGGTGTGCCACCATGTAGCCCACAGCTGTGCAGGAGCATGAGACCTGGTAGCCTGGGTGTGCCACCATGTAGCCCACAGCTGCGCAGGAGCATGAGGCCTGGTAGAGAGACCTGGGAAAGTAGCCTATATCACCAGGTGTGGCGCCAAGTATGTGGTGGGAAACGCCTGCTCAGGCCCCACTAGATAGCTGGTTGGGACATACCCAATGAGAGAATTATGTGCTTGAATTCCAGTCAGTATTATCTCAGCTGACATCCATGGCTCAATTACGAGGCCTATCAGGATTGACACCCTCAAGTTAAAAAATAATAATAACAGTTCAGTCACAAAGAACCACAAAGAGCACAACTGTATTAGACAGCTCAGTCGCACTTTCACCAACTACTATAATGCGTGGCTGACACCTCACATCTCAGTGGTCGCAAGCTTGCTCAAGGTCAGTGATCATATTGACAGCACAAGTTGACCTTCCTTACACCAACTGCAGGTCAGTGGTAATCTTGGCAACACTGGATCACCTTCCTTACACCGACCTTGCAATCCTGGTTCGTGTGTTGTGCAAGGACCCACACAATCTCATGACCTAGCACTGATGCAGCCAAAAGGCAGTGACAAGAACTGACATAGCAATGTCCCACACGTACAGAACCTTAACAATGCTGAAGTCGTTTGATGAAGGAACAAAGCCTCATCAATCCTCAACCAATCGACAACAACAATGAAGTACCTCACAAGCAATGCCGGTCTCTTCCTTCTTGGCCAGTCAATGTCATCACCTTGCCCTACTACTAGTGTACACTAGCCTCGTTTACTCATTTGCTCAGCACCCGCTGCTCCCACCTAGATCCAATAAAAGAATGTCCACCCCTGGAGCTCCCAGCCTGAAGACCAACCAGGTAAGTCCCCATGGCTCTCCTGATATCCCAAGAACCTCCTCCCCCTGGCACCGATCTTTCTTGATCAGCCTATATCTCACATCCCAGACATGGCTGGCTGGCGCCGCTCTCTACAGCAGCCACGGACAACCGGCCACCCAAACTGCCCTCCTTGGCTGCCCCATTGTCCTACCAATCCTAGAAGCCGGGGTACGGACAAGTCCCAACTGGCATGGGGAGGCCAGGGTGTGGAATTATCAAGATTGACCTAAACTGGCCTGGGTCCTACTGGATGGTAGGGAGGGAACGGATTTTTCCGGTCTCAGGCGAGTCTGACTCGTCCGTTCCTTTGCCACTTTGGCCTGAGAGCCTCCACAACTTCAGGACCTACTGAACATCAGTCCATCCGCAGACCTTGTGCTCTTGCAAACATGGAAAGCCGTTGAGAAATAAGCAGAAATTTGAGGAAACAGGGAGCAGGTGCGGGGAAACAAAGACCAGAGCACAGCCTCAGAGAGACTTGTTCTTCTACCAGGCCCACCATAGCCAGTGGGTACTACAAGCCCAGCAGTCTTTGGCAGTACAACAGCAAAGCATAGAAGCATGAGAAAGCACTTCGGCAGCCTGGTGGCGCACTTCAAGCATGAACCAAAGTGGGTCACACTCGCTACAAGGTGTACTCAGAAGACGACCTCCTCTAGACTCTCTCCCAAAAGGAAATCCAAGAACAATCGACTGGTTTCCTTCATGGGAAGACATGCGCACGTAGCCTTAATTAAACAAAAAAAATGAATAAACACGATCATAAGGTCAACCTTGAAGAACCTTAAATCACCAGTACATGGCCCCAGCCATGTTGAGAATCCGATTGAGCCTCTCCTAAAATTTAGGAGGTTAGCGCACAGTTGATATAATACATTGGCGGCGGGTGGCCTCCGAAGGGGCCCGTAGCGGATGTATGGCATGTACTGGTCCTTTAAAGCGCCATTACATGCCAGCTATCGGCAGAGTGCCCTTTTTGGAGGCCGCCCACCGCCAATTCATTTTATCTACGGCACTCGGCCTCCTCATTTTTCGGAGAGGCTCAAAACAGGTTCTCCAGTTGCCTGGGGCCATGTACTGGTGGTTTAAGAGTCGCACATCAAAAGACAGTGCTTTGGGACGAGGGTTGAGAACGCAATGAAGTGCTAACCCACCCACCAGTCTCTGAGCTGTAAATCGACCATGCGGATCTTGCGCCAGCGTAACCAGCCCTTTGTCTTTTGTTAATGATTTCACTATCCTCGAGTATGCCCCTGCGATTACATCTCCTTCTGTGTGACATCCCCTATGATTCGCCGCAAAGTCCATCATTCGCTGAATCACATAATTGCCAGTCCCTGCGACATTCAACAACCCACCGGTCATGTCAGAGCTCCCTGCCTCTCCATCTCTGTCCTCCCAAGTACATAAAAAATTAAGATGCCTCACTTGAGTATGCTCATGAATAAACTCTCTCTCTCTCTCTCTCTGTCTCTCTCTCTCTCCCCCCCCCCTCTCTCTCTCTCTCTCTCTCTCTCTCTCTATCTATCTATCTATCTATCTATCTATCTATCTATCTATCTATCTCTCTATCTATCTATCGATCTATCTATCACACGCGCACACATGCACACACGCACACACGCACACACACACAAGACACACACATCAGAGGTTCTCTTATGGATCTAAGACCTTACAAATAGTAGAGCCAAGCCTCAAATGGAGAGAAAGCAGGTTCAGCATGCAGCGAAAGCAGGTGTACAGAGAAGCATTCTGCAGGGCGTGCATTTCACCCACACTCAATTCTAAAAGTATCTATATAGAATTCATCGAAGTACTATCAGTAGTCTATTATTCTATATAGATATTTTTTTTCATAGCATAGATAATCCGAGTGTTTTGGATTATAACAAGGCGACAGAGAGCTTGTTGTCCAGCTACTGAAGTTGACTTGTTTGTACCAAGCTCCTGCCGAATTACATTTGGACATTGCTAGCTAGAGTCACTGGAAAGTGAGCGAAAGGATGTGGAAGGGCGGGAAGCAGGGGGAATAAATCAGAGTGAGAACAGCTCAACATACATATCTCAACTAAAACAAAGACTGAGAAATGGTCCAGGAGAGAAGGATACTGTGCACACGACCATAGTGCATAGACTAATAACAACAATGCTACATTTAAACCAGCAGAACATCCAAGCCTCCATTCTCAATTGAGACTGCTGCAGACGCCAAAGAAGAAAATAATGCACGGGTGCAAAATTGCATCTTTTGCCTGGCAATGCCAGTCCAGTAGGACCTAGCCCCCGACTATCTGACAGGTTAACCGTCATGTAGGAGAGAAATAGCTGGAAAAGGGACTGATGGTTTAGCAATGCTACCAATCCAACTTGTCTCCCACCATATCACCATCAACCAACCTGATCCATCAAACCAGGCAGAAGAAAGATGATTGCACCACCGGCAATGCATCTCTCTCTCTCTCTCTCTCTCTCTCTCTCTCTCTCTCTCTCTCTCCCCTGTGTAGGACTGCAAATAACATCATCATCTTCAAACAAATTGGTTGGATGCCAAGTTGTCAATGACATGCACGGCAAAAGCATCACAGTCCCTGTTTTCATCACACTCAACCATGGAAAAACTGAAGGATTACTCATACCTGTAGCAAAGAACAGCCAGACAATGGCTGCCGTCCACTTTCACCACTATCATGCACGGGTCCCGGGTATCAGTATAAGACCTAGCACTGCCTGCAATGCACTTGCCTTCCACACTGCGTCACACTTCTGGTTTTGAGGCTGTTGGGGTTAAGCCGAAGCCGGGAGCCTTGCCATACACCCCGTCTGTATATACCTGCAGCCCAATACTTTCAATGTGCAACTTTGTACAGGAGGCATCCACCCCGCTTGAAATATTCCTAACTCGTTGTGTGTACACCTAGCCCAAGTTGGAGAGTGCTGTTCTTCAAGGTTGAATATGATGCGAGCCAACAATCGCAAACACCAGCTTGGATTATCGCACTGGAGGCTTAGGAGAGTAGAATTATGGCTACGACACATTAAGAGATCTTCCGGATAAGTGGTGATACACAAAGAAGACAACTGGAGTGACGAGTAGAAGGTCTTGGCTATGGTGGACAGCACCAGATGACATGAGACTTGGGAGTGATCCTATTCTACTGTGCTCTCACCTGGCAGATACACGTGGTCCTCGGAAGCATAATCCCTCCAGAAGGAAGCATCCACATTCACTGTTTTCCCAAGAATGGTGCTGAGATAATTGCTCTAAGAGGGATGGAAGGAAGGTGAAAGAATGGAGTACCGAATATTCAAGAATTATGGGGTTAGAGATCTGACCAGCACCTCCTTGCGATCAGTATTGATTTACTTGTATGTTTGGGTTTCTGCTTCTCCGTATTGGGTACCAGATGCACACGCATATATGAGAGTTTTAGGAGATGAGAATTGATGTTTAATCCATTCACTTCAATTCTGTCTGGCAGCAGGGCCCTGTCTACTCAAAGACACAGTGACGGCCGTGAGTCAGTGCATGACCTGAAGAAGTGTGCATGTGATGACAAATATGACGCATCTGCGTTGAACGCGTTGTTGCAGGAAGAAGAGAATGTGACGAGATGCAAGAGGGAAGAGAAATGGTCAAAGGTAAGTGGCAGGAGAGTGGAGCAAAGGATTGGTGTGTGCAAGGTGCATTACTGAAGTCACTCTTCAAGCTTTTGACTATTCATCATCTCCAGTGCTCCAAGATTGCTCAAGTGTTCGTCTCTACTAGAAGTACATGATACACACTGGCAGTTTGGAGTTACAGCAGCAGCTATTCACCTGCCCCATGATGTGACGAGTTGACTTCGCAATTGTGCCAATCGAAACCAGAGTAATTTACAATAAATTACTCGAACGAAATGAATCACCATATGCATGTCTCCATGCAGGCACACACAAAGTGGCGCAGTCTGCATCATATAGATGCATCGTCACTGTCTCAAGTAAAATAAATTGAGCAAGTTCACTTACAATGCAAGGTCGCCTTGGTTTCATTGCCTGTAGCCTTCGTGCCCCCACGAAGCTCAGACTACATCATCATCCCAAGCAAGATGGGCTGCCGTCAAAGGATTTGGGGCATTTTGCCTGTAATTCCCAGGCCTGGTCCGCGAATTCCCAAGTTCCCCGTGTAACATAGCCCAACCTGTAGGCCCTTAGATCGAAATGCCGCTGTAGGGTCGAGTCGCACTTAGAGGTCCCTGGTACGCCGTAGGAATCCATCCCCGACAAAAACAGTCAGTCCCAAAATAGCAGCAGCATCCATGCAATGTCCGGAAACATCCAATACCGACAAAACAGCCACGGCCTACAGGCCTGGGACCATTATCGGTCCAAAAAGATCCAAGATTGTCAGCTGCAGCCAGTACAAACAGCCGCTACAGTGCCAAAGGGAAAGACGTGTTCATTCCAATGGTTCCGGAAGCACTGCTGTATGACTGTGCGTCTTGCTTCGAGTGTGACTTGGTTGGAGATGCTAGGGTAGTCAACGACGCAGGGCGCCATCGCTAGGACCTAGATCAGAGAGAGAGGATAAGGAGGGAGATGGAAGACCTTCAGAGAGCGGAGCGATCCATGAGGGAGAGAGAGGAGAGTACCTGGAATGAATCGAGGGGACATAGCTGCCATATGGCTCCCAGTTGCCCCCGACTTTGAACTGCTATGATATTCTTCGAGTTTTTAATAATAAACTCGAGTTCTCATATTGTTTTCATCTCTTTGCTTGTGGTATGGTTGAATTACAGCGTGCTGTATGACGATTGCATGACAGATGAAGTGGGATCATTTCGCTGTCTTCAAGAAGCGATTGGGAGGAAGTGCCGGCACACGAAATAGGCCACCGGGTGCTTCAACTTCCCGGCTTGGGGAAAGATGCCAGAAGGTGCTTGGACTTGGGGGCTTGGAGAAAGATACCAGCGAGGTGCAGGGAAGTGAGGGTCAAAGCAGAAGTGGACAGAGAAGGATGAAGAAGGCCAAGTGTGGAGAGGAGACTCACCGAAGCTTCGTGGAGCATCATCAAGCAAATAATGAAGTGTCTCTTCATCCCTAGCCTTTTGTTAGCCTGCTTGTTGTTTGTTGTCGGATTCGCCGGTCTCTCCTTGGAAATAAGCTGCTGTTTGCCATTTGTTGCTGACGCCGTTAGGTCTAGGATAGACAAGAGCTGTGCAAGCACCTTGTTGTCAGCTCTGGGGCAAAGGCTCCTACCTGGTTCTCAGGAAATGGGTAGGGTTGCCGGCCCACCTGGGGCCGTGAATACCCAGTGGTACACTCTCTCAGTAACATCGAACCTTCCACAGTACAGCCTCCTTCCTGTTTACCAGGAACTGGGTAGGGTTCGCCGGCCTACCAGGGGGAATGGGTTCACTACCATAGGACCCTACCTGTGTAAGGCAAATCAAAGGAACAGCAAGATCCGCCTGACCACATCGTCCTTTGAGCAACGTTAAAAGAGTCCTTGAGGACTGTGCTGGCCGTTCTTCCTTCAACTGCTGGTTGGCCAGGGTTGGTTTGTCAAGCATATCCCCATACTACGTGTTGATTGAGTCAACAGCAGGATAGACATCAACGATAATTAGGTTTGCGAGCTTAGGGTCTTACGTGGTAGGAGGTAGTGGAACGAAAGTTGCAATCTTTGACAGGTGGTTGTATCTATCTACCGGCATAGATGATTAGCCCATTCACACCCTTCTCACCTTCTCCGTGATATGGCAACCTCTATTGCGAATGATTTCCCCCTTCAGCTTCTTCAGAACATGCTGGATGTAGACCATGGACCTTAGGATTGGGAAGGAAGTCCAACAACCGGGGGATGAGAAGTTTGAGGAACAGAAGAAGAAAGATGATGATGAGGAGGAGGAGGATAAGAAGAAGAAAAAGGAAAAGAAAACAGAAAAGACAGAACAAGGGCAGCAGGAAGAAGCATCGGGGGAGGAGGAAGGAGAAGGGAAAGACGATAGAGGAGCAGAGAAGAGGGCAGAGAGCAGCACTAGACCAGGGGGTCACTCACTGCCGGGCCTGGAAGAGGACCAGTCGTTTCAGTGTCTTGACCGGGGAAAGCCTCTTGGCGAAGATGAAGAAGTTGAGGTTGGGAAAGTTGCCATCAAGAGCTGCACAGCCAACTACGCAGGGGAGGAAGCAGAAATCGCCGATGCAGAGGAGAGAATGAAGAAGGCGACGGATGCCATGGAGGCGAAGATGTGGCAACTCGAACATAAAACGAAGGTTCTGAAAGAAAGCGCTGAGCCTTAATTGGACTAAGATAGTCCTTCTAATTCTGGCAAAAGTCAGCAGAGGTGAGTTTGGTTATCTAGGCTCAAATAAAATTTCACTGTATCCAGGAATGTGCTCTGAACTGCGGCCCTTTGTCTCAAATGTCAAATTCGATACATGCTTGTTTCAGTTCACTTTACTGAGACGTAATGGGCATAATCTGCACGAAACCCACATACATCTGTGTAGGATCCTCAGAGACTATATGTTGAACAACTTCAGTCAGGCACCACATTAGCATAATAAGCCTTGAAACAAAAACAAGTTGAAGCTGCAGTCGTGCAGCAGACATCCTCAGAACCTGAGGCGAGCCGCTCCACTGGCTCCTAGTCAACAAATTATTGATTGATTGCATGACGATGGACGTATGATACGTTTGGCCCATTCCCTCCTTGGCCTATGAGGTGAGATAAGCTAGAGCCTAACCTCGAGTGAAAAATAGAGATGATGGGAAAGGCCAATCGAGCTCCGTGATAGCTGGCTTTCCGCGAAATCTTCTGAGATAAACTTTCTGATCTTCATTGCAAGAAGTAGAGCAATCCGTGGGCTACTATCTTCACCCGAAGAGAACACCCTGTCATTATCATTGCATCTGGACTGAAAGCTGCATCAAATACTACTATAATAACGGTGTTCTATTTGGGGGAAGACTATCCAGTGGCCCAAAGCTTGACCAACCCCAAAGCATATGAAGGCGGTGAGAAGTAGCTGACGTTCCCGACGATCTACTGTGTATGTCAGCACCCCCAGTGGGCCCCCAATTCCAGGGTTTTTTTTTGCTTTTTTTTTAGTGAGCCCCCAATTCCATTCCAGATTTATTTAATTTTTTTCAAGTTTTTTTTTTTTTTTCTGGGCCATTGTTCCATGAAACACTTGTTGACCAAAGCCCGCAAGGACACAGTTGCTCAGCAGGCGGTTATGGAGTGCGAAGACGACTCTGCACAGCCATCATGCTGCTAGAACAAACTGGACATAAGTATCATTCTGAGCCGGTTATGGAGTGCGAAGAGGACTCTGCACAGGCATCATGCTGCTAGAGCAAACTGGACAAAAGTATCATTCTGAGCCGGTTATGGAGTGCGAAGAGGACTCTGCACAGGCATCATGCTGGTAGAACAAATTGGACATAAGTATCATTCTGCGGTTCTGTTGTGCTCTTCTGTGCTAGTCCAGGCAAGATAAACAGCGGTGACTGCAGCTTAGAGCATACTCACACTGCACCTGGTTTTGGATGCATCTGCCCACGATTACAGTACACCCTGGATGTATCTGAACACAGTTGCGTCCACAGACTGGTCAAAGGTGTCCCAGCGTGAGTACACCCTTAGTAGAGTTCGCACCTCAGTAGGGTTTGGTTTCCCCTACAGTTCTCTAACAGATTTAGTTATTCACCAAGGATGATCATCAGACTGATGTGGACGCGGCCACTACAATTCCATGTGAAAAATACCCATGAACCAGAAGCGCATTTCTTTTTTTTTTTTTTAACTACAAAAGAAGATGAACCAGAAAGGTAAACTGTCACGAACCCACAACCAGGAGCATCACATCAAACAAGTGATAAACTAGCAAACAGGAAAGAGAGAGGGCAACTGCAATCTTGTCTTTACCTTCCTTCTCCATTTCATTTTCTTCCATCTCCATTTCATTTTCCATCTGCGGTACCAGATTCTCTGAGTATGTGTGGCTGAAGCTGCACTGCAATTGCTGATCAGTGGGAATGATTTCCTCGTTCTATTCAAGCATAGGGGGTAACAAAAGTTGAACTGCCCACACACCTGTCTGCTACTAAGCATACTTGCAGGCTGTGGGGTGGAAAAGGCAACAATGGCATAAAGACAGGGCCAGTGAATAAGTCAAGGGTTGGTCCGAACCCGCCACAAGAACAATGGCATGGATGATGACAAGGGCAAAGCAAATAGGAGATTCTAAATGACGGTGGTCGCCATTGACCTTGCCCACAAAATAGGCATAACAAAAAACATGTTGACTGAAGGCGAGGACAAACAAGGAGGTACATCACAGGTAATCATGCAGGCAGCATAGCGTTCTTGGCGGCGGTAGAAAAAAGGTTGTACCATGTGCAGCTAGCTTTGCAGAATACGACATGAGGTGCTCAAAGCAGGTCTTAGCGACGCGATATTTTTTGGGAAAGGTTTCCCTAAGCATCCAATCTAGATGCCTTGCACCCTAACAACCAACCAACAAGGACACATCAGATCAAGACAAAAACATCCGTTATTAGAAAGAATAGATCAATCACAAAATGAAACCCAGCAACACACACACACACACACACACACACACACACACACACTCACACAAGCCGGTGAAAGTCCGACAAAACAGTCTGGCATGGTCATGCTTTTTCTGTGGAGTTGTGCATTGCGAACATGGCAACACGCACACACACACACACACACACACACACACACACACACACACACACACA